ATGACTGTTCGGGAGATATAGTTCCACGCATCTTGCGGGATTCGAAATCGGACATGATGAGTCCGAAGGGAACTTCAGATTGGACAATTTCACTGTTGGGATCTCCGAATACTGGATATTGGGCATAATGGGCGGACACAGAAGGGGGTCTTTTATAGCACGAACGCGGTTTCTTTGACCCTCTGCCACAACTGTTTCCTGGCAAACACTTAGGCCGTACAAAAATGGACTCGGCGGATTCAAAAGTAAGTGAGGTGGCTCAAAAATTGTAGACCCGACGGACAAAGCCAATCAGAACGAGTCTGAGGCGTGCTCAGCCAGCATTTGGGCATCGTTTGGCATTTCCTTTGTGAACTAAGGCATCTCAGTGCTACCGTAACGACTCCTAGGCAGGTCAGTCATGAGACTTACGAGAATAGACTCAGATAGTATGAGGGACCCAGCAGACTGACCGGGCTCGACGAACTGAGCAGGGACTCAACAAACTCAGTGCAGGGTCGAAGAACTCAGGGACTCAGCCTACTGTTCACAGTAAACTCAGGTCAGTAGAATTCGGGCGAGCAAACACATGTCAGCAGAATTCACAAACAGTAGATCTCAGGGCAACACGGACAGAAATTAGGAAAACACAGGTCAGCGAGTCCCGAATATCGAGCCGCGGATCTCCAGCGTTCCTCAGCTTCAGAGCTACTATCCTTTTTTTTTGTCAGAACTGGCAGTTCGCGGATCTCAGATCAGCGGACTTGCAACCACCAGATCCAAGATCTACCAAGGCCAGGCTCCAGATCGTTTGCTGACATCAAATTCAAAAACAGTTTGCGGGTATCAAATTAAGGGGCCCGAACCCAGAAAACGTTTGGAATTATCAGACTTTGGCATCCGGCCCAGACAACTTGGACACACGGCGGGGTGTGAACAGTGTCCTACGATGACTCTGAGACTGAATGCCTGATCGCTGATCCCTGAAAGTGAGACCCATTAATGACTATGCAGGGTGAAAAGGGGAACTAAGTGCGGGAACGAGAGGAGATCAGTTGACACTCAGGCAAAACCAGTCTTAGTTTAGTTGGTTCTGTGGACGGACAGACAGACTTTGCCGCAAAAGAATTGATAGTCCAAGAATGATAATTGAGGTGGCCCTGTTTGTACTTTCTCGTATATACTGTTGTTGGTCAATTCTGTATCTTGATTTATCAGAGCTGACCACTTGTTTGCAGGTTACAGGAGCCCGGAACTAGCCCTCCTGCGGGCGACGGACGCGGGGCGGACATAGGGTTAGATCTGCAGGCCGGCAGACCCCTTCTACCAGTCGACAACGTTTAGCCATGAGAACTGAGTTTACCCCACGAGATGATATATTCCCTGTTCAAGGTGAACTGTAATCCGTACCGGTACTCAGAACATCTTGTGAAGCGGGTAACATACTACAGCAAAGGCAAACAGACAAAGTAGGAAGTAATGGGGACATTACACACCAATACTCGGAAGTCTGATCAGAGAAAGATCACTCAATTCTGCCAAGAGACAAACTGTAACCAAGCATGCAGTGCATTTATCGGAGTCTGGTCAGTAGAGACAATCGGCACAATCATTGTACTTGAGACAGTCAATCAAGTCATAGAATCCGTCGGAACCCTGCTGTCACTGTCGTTCACATGAACACAGTTCGGACATTCCTAATCAGTGTGATCAATTTCATCGATTCAAGTTCAACTCGATTTCAGTAAGTTTAGTGAGGTCAGTTTCCTCTTTTCAAGTTCAATTCAATTGAAGTAAGCTCAGTGAAATCAGCATCACAGTTTCAAGTTCGGTCTCAACTTTCAATACAAGTTCAGTTCAGATCAATTCTATTAAGATCCGAGTGCGATTTGCATAGCATACTCAGTTCAATTATGAGTTCAGACCCAAGTGCAATTCTCAAAGAAAGTTTCAGTTCAATACTCAGTGTAGCATCAGTGGACTCAAATCAGCTTCAGTGAATTCATTTCAAATTCAAAGAGATCAGATCAGTATCAGTGAGTTCATTTCAGATTCAGAGGAATTAGATCAATTTCAGGAAGCTCACTTTGGACTCAGTGAAGTCGGCCTAGCTTTCAGCAAGTTCAGTTCAGACATGATTTCAGATTTAAGTGTGGCTTTCAAGGAAAGCATCAACTCAGTTCTCAGTTCGGTCTCAGAGACCCCGATCCCAGTGAGTTCAATTCTTAGTCTCAGTGAGTTCAGATTAAGTGGAACTCTATCGATGGTCTCAATTTACGATCAGCAGACTCTATTCTCAGGGGACATGACTTTGGTCATAGCGGGAAGTCCCGGTGGTAGCAGAGACGACGCTGTTCACAGCGGGCAGTTCCGGTGACAGCAGCGGCAGTGCTGGCCATAGCAGGAGGTCCCGGTGGTAGCAATGACGATGCGGGTTACAACAGGCACTCTCGGTGACAACAGCA